GCCAAACCAGTGTCTCGTAGTGCTTTTCTAGTTACTCGTATACATAAGTCAGAGTGCGAACTGCGTCCTCTGGAGGTGTCTATACGTGGATCCAGTGGAACGTTGATGTCTCCTGCTACTATGAGGAGTCCCTCCCTAAACTTGTCCAGCTATCGAAGGGTTCTGGAGAGGAAGCGGTGCTGGCCCGTATTCGGGGCATATATCGACGCGAGGGTGTATTTCTTATCGGCAATCGTGCCTTTAAGGAATAAGTAGCGGCCATTCGGATCTGCCTTTGTCTCCAAACAGCAAAACATTACGTGTCGTGCAAAGAGTATCGCACCCCCTGCTCTCTTGGCCACCGGGTGGTTCGCGAAATATCCAGTCGGGAACCTTGTATCTCGAAGGATGGGGCCTACCCCTCCTCTAAAATGGGTCTCCTGGAGGAATGCTATTGAGGCCCAAGCGGCCCACAGGGACCGTAGCAGGTGTGACCTCTTCTCCGGGGCATTTAGTACCCTCATGTTGTTGGTCCAGAGGCGCAAAGGGGCAGGGCAGAACCCCCCAGCTCCCGACCCAGCCATGGCCTACAAGAGGGGGGGCTAGGAGGAGAGAGAGGGGACAGTGGGGAAGGGAGTGAGGGGGGGGGTGAGGAGTGGGCCGGGGGGGGGGAACAACTCTGTCGTAGGAGGTCTGTCAGAAGGAAAGGTGGAGGTTCAGTCGGATAAGGGAGAAGGTGTCCGTGACCTGATAGGTCGACCCTATAAGGGGAGAGTTGGACTTGACTGTAGGGGAGGGTCTCGTCGGGCCTGAGTCCCCGCTCCTTTAGTTGACTCAATCTCCCACTGTCCTCCCGTCTACTACCCTCAGTCTGTCCAGGGAGTCGTGCACGGTGCCCGTGCAAGAGGGCCGTGTCTTTCGGTCTGGGTGTTGGATGTACCTGTGCGTGCTGTACCCACTACTACCGGCCCCAGACCGGCCTTGTGTGAAATGAACCGGAAACTATATACAAATCTAGGTTCGGTGTGCCAGCTGTTGAGTGGAAGTGGACTATTACTCCGTAGGGGCGTACCCGTGGTCGAGCCCCAGCTCAGCGGCCCTTTTTACATCAGCGGTGCTATTTCTACATTTAGTGGTCATTTTACGCTGAGAGCCAGTCGAGGGTGTTCCTTGGGGCATAGGCTTCTTGTTCCGAACCATTTTAGGGCTAATGTTCGTTGGAATTGTCACTATTAATAGGCCGAGGGCACGGAGCTCAGGCACTACACGTCTGCTCTCATGCTCGGTCTGGCCTGTTTTTGTTTTTTTAATTTGTTTAGTTGTGTTATCATTTCACTGGTTAGAATTTTTTTTTAGGGGATAGTTTGTAATATTCTATATATTGTTCTTCCCTCGAGGCCCCTTTTTGTTTAATTCTATTTTTAAGTTTTATCAAGTATCCTCTCACAACAACTTTGAAGGCGCACCAAATGCATATGGCATTCCTTCAGATTTGTTTTCTTTAAAGTATAAATCTATTATCTTTCTGATTTGTTTTTGATGTTCCACTTTGGAGAGGATACTATCATCCAAACGCCAGGTGCTAAAAGGTTTATATTTTTTCTTTTAATACAAACAGATTATAGCTATGGTCCACTCATGGATTTTCTCTTATTATAATTTTTGGAATCTGTTCTACTAAGCTATGCTCTCACAAGACCAGATTAATTCTGGATAATGAGTGATGTACTCTAAAAAGATGTGTAAATTAATTTTCAATTGCATGATAGACTCACCATATATCCAACAAATTATTTTCTCTCATAATATTAATATCTTAGATTGTTTCTT